GGAGGCTGTTACAGAGGGAGAGAGAATGCAATTCAGGCATGCTGAATTTTTATGTAGTTATGTATATACACACACATGCACTCCCTTACACATACACACACATACATATGTGTGTGTGTCTCTCCATATTTTGAAACAGGCTTTCTGTTGGAATGACATGCTTCTCTGGGATTCCACTCCCACCATGTGGCTTAAGTTTCCTACAGTCATCTGCTCCAGGAACTCTCCTCCTAGTGCCTTGCAACCAGATGTGCCATTGTCAGTTTCATCTCAAAGAGATTTCAGAGTTGGCACCATGCGGGGCAGGGTAAGAGGAGCCCTCCGTCCAGATGAGTCAGCACTCACTGGTGTGGTCTGATAGCACTCAGGGGAGAGCAGACCAATCAATGCCTGTGAGCTGTAACTTTCTCAGCACAGTGAGAGTCTCTATTTTTTTTTTTTTTTTTTGAGTTGGAGTCTCACTCTGTCGCCCAGACTGGAGTACAGTGGCCGCTCCCGGCCACCACAGCCTTGACCTGCTGGGCTCTGGCGATCCTTCCGCCTCAGCCTTCCAAGTAGTCGGAACTGCAGGTGTGCGCTACCACGCCCAGCTGATTTTTTTATTTATTGTAGAGATGAGGTCTCACTGCCCAGGCGGGTCTCGAACCCGCAAGCTCAGGCAATCCACTCACCTCAGCCTCCCAAAGGCGCGGGATGACAGGCTGAGCCACCGAGCCCGGCTGACGGTCTCTATTACCTAGAGGCCAACTCTCCTGCCCCCAGGTGTAACCAGACTGGCCCTTTATTTTTAAATTTTTTTTTTATTTTAAAGATGTGGGGTACAATTCAGGGTTAGTATGTAAATGTTCATTATGCAGGTACCCTTGTGGATGAGGTGCGCCCCCTCTTCCCCCGACAGATTCCCACTACTGCCAATCCTGCATCCCTTCCCCCTGTCCTCGGGCAGTCTCTCACTACTGCCAATCTTTTTCTTATAGTATTACAGTAATTGTTCAAGGTCCGCTTATGAGTGAGAACATGTGACACTCGGTTCTTTGTTTCTGTGACAGATCACTCAGTATTATAGACTCTAAGTCCATTCAGGTTGCTGTGAAGTTCATGACTTTGTCCTTCTTATGGCTGTGTAATATTTCATCATGTATATGTACCACATTTTTTTTATCCAGTCCTCTTTCAATGGGCAGCACGGTTGGTTCCATGTTCCTGCTATTCTGAACAATGCTGCAATAAGCATATGTGCGCAGGTATCTTTTTCATAGAATGATTTGAGTTCCTCCGGATGTAATCCTAGTAGGGGAATTGTGGGGTCATATGGATGGTCGAGTTTTAGATCTTTTAGAAGTCGCCACACTGTTTTCCACAGAGGCTGTACCAGTTTACACTCCCACCAACAATAATAGAAGTGTTCCCTTTTCATCGCGTCCTCTCCGGCATCTGTTGTTTTTTGAATCAGACTGGCCCTTTAAGAACTCCAGAACCTTTGAAGCCAGAGCTCTCTAATTTCCAATTCTTGCTCACCATTTATGGGCTGCGTGATTTTGAGCAAGTTACTGAGCCTCTCTGAGCCACAATTTTCTCATTTGCAAAATGGAGATAGTAAGATAGTCAATCGAAAGGCAGTGTTAGAATAAAAGGAGCTGATGTACCTGAGTAGCCTGAAGCTGGGTGCAGATCGAGCTTTCCATAAATCGTAGCTAATATTATTATCTGGCTCTGCACACCTCTCTTCATAAATGCATACCGTTCTGGCCATGGCAAATATTCAGTAAGGACTCTTCTTTAAGAGAAATTGAGCCTCATTTCTAAGCAGTTTAAGAAAAAAAAGGGGGAATCCCTTGGCTTCAGTGACTGGAACGCCCAGGGAGGGGCTAGCCTCGAACTCGGAGCTTGGCTTCCCTCTGATCTTCATGTCATCGTCTCCCGTGGCACCTGATGGCTTCCTTTATGGAGTGGGAGGAGGGGACATGGGGCCAGAGACCCACTGGAGACTTCCAAGATCCCCAAAAGTTAGATGTACGCACGTCACCTAAAATCCTAAATGGATAAAAAGTACCTGAAGCCCCATCTCAGAAAAATCCTAAGTGATGTGCTGTTCTGACCTGGTTCCCTGCTGCCAGGTGCAAGAGAGAAGGCAGAGAACTCTGGGCCACTGGAGATGCCCTTGGAGCTCCTGGGTGTGCAGTCTCTATCCCTGGAAATAAAGGAATATTGTGGCTGGTTGTTTACAGAGCGTTAGAGTCTTAAATCAAATCTCTGTTGGAGAATTTTCCTAGGTCACTGCCAACACAGTCTCACACGCTTTGGTTCATGAAACGCCAGGGTCTGTGGTATCCTGTCATCCCTGTGGGCTGTCTCTGTAGTGCTGTTCGTTTCTGAAGGTTATTATTCCGGGTTTGCTGTCTGCAGCCCCAGTCAAACGTTAAGTTCAGAAGTTCCTTTGAAGGATGATGAGTTTAAAAGATCAACTTAATTTTAAAATAAACTTTTTGAGTTTTCAACACAAATTGTTATTTATGGCAAATTAACTTTTTTTTTTTTTTAAGATAAAGGAAGTCAGTTTTCAGCTCCTGGGCTGATTGGCAAAATGTCACAAACAAGTAAATGAACATATAAATGTGACAAATTTTAATTTTAGGTTTTAGACTGAAATGAATTTTGTCATCTGAAATTCTTATCTGATGGTTAAGCTTTATTTTTTTCATCAAACTTGCCCTATCTTTTGCTTCTCTTAATGCCCACAACTTCTCAATATCTAAGAGGTTATAATAAGCATATAGATAGATAAATTGTAAGCGGGAAAACCAGAAAGCAGAGTCATAACAGGTATATTTTGAGAACAGGTAGTTTTTTAGCTTTCTTGATTTTTTATGATTTAAGCATGCATAAAATGCTCCTTGGCCAGGTGCAGTGGCTCATTCCTATAATCCCAGCACTTTTGGAGGCTGAGGCAAGAGGATTGTTGGAGGCCAAGAGTTTGAGACCAGCCCAGGTAACATAGTGAGACCTCATCTCCGCAATTACAAAAAATAAAATTAAATTAAAAATTATTTTAAAAAATACTCCAGAATGTAGTTCGGAGATAGGATCTGAATTTGAGAAAATGTTTGGTTGAAATTTTTCTTGATGGATTAACCCTTTTCTTGCCTCCTTGATCCTGGTACTATTCTGAGAACTCTGGCTTTTTTTTTTTTGGTAAAGACAAGGTCTTTGTATATTGCCCAGGCTGGTCTTGAACTCCTGGACTCAGGCAATCCTCCTGCCTTGGCCTCCCAAAGTGCTGGGATTACGGGAATGAGACACTGTGCCTGGCCTGGCTCATCCTTTATTCAGACGCGTTTAGCTTTCTCCTGCGCTCACCCTGCCTCACCTGGCCACCCACCCAGGCATGGGAAGGCTGCTTTCCTAATAGACCATTTCCCCCTCAGGGGAGCTCTGCCAACAATTAGAGGAGTGATTATAATCCCACTACTACATTCTTGAACAGTTCACGTGAATTCGAAGATAAATCAAGGAATCTGAAAGATACTTTGAGCTCATTGTGGGTGACGTTGAGTGTCCCCTCTCTTTTACCATCAGAATTTCATGGGGGATGTTTTGAAAGACAGTGCGTTAGGGCTTTATGGAGGTCAAAGACTGATGTTGGGGTCAAGTGCGTTTACAATGAAATCCAAACTCCTCTAGGCACTGCAGTATCAGGCCTTTGGCCTGCTCCAGCCTGTCAGCTAGGCTCTCCCTTGGTCCATGCGTGATGTTCCAGCCATGCTGCCCTTGCAGTTCAGAGAACAGCCGGAGCTCTTCCCAGCCACCAGGCCTTTCACCTGTCATTCCTCTGCCTGGGGTGCTCCTTCACACGTCCCTCCACTGACTGGCTCCTGCTCCTTCTTCCCCTAAATGCCATCTCCTCGGCGAGGCTGCTCCCGATTTCTCTTCCTGATGCACTTCTCATCCCATTGATCTTTATTCCAGCGCCTCTGTTGTTTCCTTCAGAGCACTTACCGTAGCCTAAAGTTTTATTTGTTGTGTTTCCGTAATTGTGTCTCCCACGGGACTGAAGGCTCCATGGGACAGGAACTGTTTTGGTTATCGGCACATCCCCAGTACACAGGACAGTGCTGGGCTTTTATTAATAGTAGGATCTCAGTAAGTAAAGACCGAGTGAATGAGTGATTGAGTTGAATGTAACCTATGCCCTTCAGAAAGATTTCTGAAGTTGCAGAAGCTTCCTTATCAAAGGAGTGATCTCTTTCTCAGCAGTCCCCAAAGGCAAGCATCACCTGACCCAGGTGATCCGGAGGAGCTAACCCTGGAAGAAATACAGGGGCCTTCACCCAGGGCAAGGATTTTCTGCAGTCATCCTAGATCAGTGGTTGAATACATTGAGAAGCAACTGTGTTAGAATGGCCAAGAACATGATCTCATAGTTAGCGCTGGCTCATAGTCAGTGTTATATAAATGTTGATGATTATATGAAACAAAATCTTCATGTGCAGAAAGTGTTTCCAGAGGCAGCATCACGTGATGGTTAAAGTTGCAGCCTCTGCCATCAGACTGCCTGTGGTTAGCCTTGGATCTCCCTCTACATTCCAGAAAAATAGCATGGGGCTGATATTGTAGATCAAAGAGTTCATCTTGTGTGACACTTCTAACAGTTAGTGCCATCTGCCCTGTTAACCCCAAAGGCTGACAGTGCTCTTTCTGAAGAAGGAAACACAAAACACACACATACACACACACACACACACACACACACACACACACACACACACACAAAGAAACCCCCTGAAGACAAAAGATTAGCTCTTGGGAACCCCCTAGTAAAGTTTGTTCTTTTGAAAAGGTGGGCTGTATTTACTTTGTTCCCACAATTTTAGATTTGTAACAGTAAAAAATGATCTCACATTTCACAATATGTTGGTCTTTCCAAGAAAGCATGATCCTTAACACTTGATAACTTTTGAGTTGATTCTCTGTTAAATAAAGTTTTATTCTTTAATCCACAGGTCACGGTTCTTATCCACGTGAACACACATGGCTCTGTTACGAAAAAGTAAGATTATAACTTTTGAAAATAATGATTAAAAACAGATATTTGCCACTGTTTTGATGCCGAGGCTTTTTCTTCTTCTTCTCCTTCTCTCTGGAATTGTCTTTGATTTTCTTGGATTGTTTTTCCACAGGCAATTTTTGGCATCATCATTTCAGGATGACTCTATTGGAAAGTCATTGAGTATTTCAGAAGTGGACTTATCATGAGAGGGGTCATATATTTCTCCAAAACCTGCAAATAGGCCAGGCTTGGTGGCTCAGCCTGTAATCCCAGCACAAGTAAATTGCCTGAGCCCGTGGGTTCGAGACCAGCCCTGACAACTTGGTGAGACCTTATCTCTACAATAAATCAAAAATTAGCCGGGCGTGGAAGCACATGCCTGTAGTTCTGGCTACTTGGAAGGCTGAGGTGGAAGGATCGCTGGAGTCTAGCAGGTCAACAAAGGGGTGGCCGTGAGTGTGCCACTGCACTCTAGCCTGGGTGATGGAATGAGGCTCCAACTCAAAAAAAACCAAACTTGTAAATAGGCCGGGCACAGTGGCTCAAGCCTGTAATCCCAGTACTTTGGGAGGCCGAAATGAGAGGACTGGCGGAGCCCACGGCTGGGCATGGTAGTGCACACCTGTAGTTCGTTCCAGCTACTTGGAAGGATGAGGCAGAAGGATCGCCTGAGCCCAACGGGTCAATACTGGGGTGGCCGTGGAGTGCCACTGCAGTCTAGCCTGGGTGATGAAATGAGACTCCAACTCAAAAAAAAAACAACTTGCAAATATAATTTATTTTCTCATTCTAAATAAGTATTCATGTTAACGTTTAATCTGGCATTTGTAACCTTGCATTTGTATCTTGAAAGGGTTACCTCAAATCTTCAGACTCATCAAAAGCAGGATTTGCCCCTGACTTTAGATCTAATAATTTGTGAATTTGAGGGAAAAATGCAATAACCTAATTGTGTTACTGTTACCCTCAGGGTAGAGTTACCTGATTTCGGGAATGAAAACACAGGGCAGTCAGTTAAATTTTAATTTCAGATGAACAATGAAAAAAAAATTTGTGTATGTCCCAAATATTAAAAAATTAATTAAAAAAAAATTAATCTGGCCACCATTGAAAGGGTCAGATGGTAAGAGGCATGGGGCCACCCCCTCAAACTGGCTGTGGTGGTGAGTATTAATGAGACCCATTGATAAACTCTAGAACTTTGTCCCTTAAAATCTGCTGCCTCTCTGTAGGTTAGTTTTAAGCAGAATCTAGTGTCTTGTGATCTCCGGCTGAATCTGAAAACCCACTCGGGCGGGTAGAGCAGGGTGTCAGCAGGGTAGACACACAGCCTCAGAGTGTAGTTCTGGGAGGTCTCCGTGGAGACTTTTCAACTCCTTTCTTTTACAGATGGAAGGACAAAGGCCTCAGGACCAGAAAAAAGATCAGCATGAGGCCAATAGATTCAGTATCTTATTGCATAAACATAATAATACATAACAGTTATAAAGTCTTCCCTGAGCCTACATTGTCCTTAACTCTGGGAACAGTAGTGTGAAGTCACGCCTACCATTGCAAGCCCCATTTAGCAGATGAACACACCGAGGCTCGGAGAAGTTAAGATACCTGGCCAAGGTCTTACAGCAAGGAGTGGCAGGAACGAGGTTTGAGTCTGACTTCAAATTCCTACTCTTCCCCCTTTTACCGACTTCTTCCAGACTTTAGGGGTGTGTGCACAACATATGGCACGGTACCATCTTCTCGGTTTTCCATAATTGGTGTTCCTTCTGTCTTATATGTTACTTAGTATGTCCTTTAAATGGACTCATTTAAAAAATCTATAAGTGGTGGCTCAGCCTGTAATTCCGTGCCTTTGGGAGGCTGAGGTGAGTGGACTGCCTGAGTCCGCGGGTTCGAGACCCGCCTGGGCAACTTGGTGAGACCTCATCTCTACAATAAATCAAAAATCAGCCGGGCGTGGTAGCGCCTGCCTGTAGTTCCGGCTACCTGGAAGGCTGAGGCGGAAGGATCGCCGGAGCCCAGCAGGTCGAGGCTGCGGTGGCCGGGAGCGGCCACTGCACTCCGGTCTGGGTGACAGTGAGACTCCAACTCAAAAAAAAAAAAAAAAAAAAATCTGTAAGCGTATCTTACAATAGAAAGTTTGTATCCACTGTCAATGGAAAGAGAATGATCTACTATTATTAAAAGAATGTAATTGTAAAAACATATACAGTTAGAAGAATGTTTTTCAGTCTGGGTAGCTTTTGTTGCCTGCCTGCACAGGAAATCAGAAAGACTGACTTTCTCACACTGTAATGTTGTAATGTCACTTAATGCTGTGAACATGAACTTCCTCAATCATTTCACATACAGCCAGTGGTACGTGCTCCAAACTCAAGAAAACACTATTCCACGCCACTCTCCGTCTCAGTAGATCCCCGGGGCAAATGGCTGACCCGGAAAGATGGTCCTGAAGAGAGCTGGAAGTGCTACTGGGGTCTCTGCACCCTCTGCCCAGGGCAAGAATTTTCTGCACTCCATCCTTGACCAGTGGTTGGATTAATTAGGAAGAACATGTTTTCATAATGAGTACTGGCTCATAATAAGCATTATATAAATGTTGACGACCGGGCTCGGTGGCTCAGCCTGTCATCCCAGCACTTTGGGAGGCCAAGGCGAGTGGATTGCCTGAGCTGGCAGGTCTCGAACCTGCCACTTGGTGCAACCTTGTCTCTAGAATAAGTCAAAAAAATTAGCTGGGGCTGGTAGTGTGCTCCTGCAGTTCCGGCTACTTGGCAGGCTGAGGTGGAAGGATCGCCGCAGCCCAGCAGGTCGACTACACCCCAGCCTGGGCGACGGAGTGAGACTCCAACTCAATAAATAAATAAACAAACAAACAATTAAATAAATAAATGTCAGCGATTATTTGAAACTCAATCTTCACGCACAGAAAGTGATTCCAGAGGCAGTTTCGTGTCATGATTAAAGTTGCGGCCTCTGCCGTCAGACTGCCTGGATTTAGCCTGAACCTTCCTTACACTGCTTCTGGGTGTCCTGGAAAAATAGCACCCAGGTGGCTTCTCTGTCCCACACACTATCTGCTTAAAGGAAGTCCCCAGACCACCACCTCTCTGTGTGTCATGGCGGGCATCTACTCGCATTGCTGTTCCAAACTCTTCTGCGTGATTTCAGGTCAGCAGGTTAAATGTTAATGTGTTTCCATTGTTCTTTCAGTTAATCAGGTGTTGCTGTTCCTTCTGATTTTGACCCTCGGTGTGATTCTGTATAAGAAAGTTCACAGGACAGCTGTGCCCAAGAATGAAGCAGGTAAGCCGGCCTGCCATCCATCCAGATGGAATACCGGGAATGTGGTTAGAATATTCCTTTAGGTCCATCCGATGACTGACTCGGGCAAGGGACAGTCTGGTCAGCTCCCAAGGATTTGCTGATGGAATATCCACACAGGCCAACTTTCCTGTTGTGCTCTAGAAGGATTAGTGTTATTAAAACGTTGGCATCTGTAAGATTCACGTGGAAGGATTGTGAAACCACACAACTGGCTCCCACCCGAGAGGTTTAGAGTCCCACCCGAGAGGAGGTATGGGGTGAGGCCTGAGAACTTGCATTTCTGGTAAGGTCCTGGCTGAGGTTGAGGTTGTGGGTTCTAGACCACACTTTTAGTGGATTGCACCGAATCCTTCCCCTTGGGAGCTTCTCATTGATCTTGCCATGAAAATTACCTTCTCTCTCCTCTCTCTGCTGGTTCATTCCCATCAGTTCACAAATAGCCTCTGAATTCTCAACTTGAAAGTGACCCTTCATTGACCCCGTGTCCTCGTTCAGTTGCATGGGAGGCCACTTTTCCCTCCTCAGGAGTAAATTCTGAGAGATAACACTTTTTATTTTATTTTATTTTTATTGAGTTGAAGTCTCACCCTGCTGCCCAGGCTAGAGTGCAGTGGCAGACTCACGGCCACCACAACTTCGACCTGCTGGGCTCAGGTGATCCTTCCACCTCAGCCTTCCAAGTAGCTGGAACCACAGGCTCGTGCCACCACGTCCGGCTAATTTTTTGATTTATTGTAGAGATGAGTTCTCGCCAAGTTGCCCAGGCTGGTCTCGAACCCCTGGGCTCAGGCAATCCTCTCGCCTTGGCCTCCCAAAGTGCTGGGATTACAGGCTTGAGTCACTACGCCCGGCTGAGAGATAACACTTTCACAACCCAAAGCACACGTGAAGTCAACCCCCACAGAAATGAAGATGCACTGTGTGTTTATTACATTTTTATTAATTTACTCTTTTATTAGTCAAACTAATACACTCATTTATGGAAGATACAGGAGAAAAAATATTACCTGTAGCTGTATCAGCCAAAGACAAATGCAGTTACTATTTTGGTGTGTAAAGTACATTCATCCCACAAATGTCTTTTAAACCTGATGCTAAGGGACTGGAGACACAACAGTGAACAAAACAATGTCCCGGCTCCCACAAAGCTGTTTTTTCTTTGTTATTTATTTATTTATTTATTTTGAGTTGGAGTCTCACTCTGTCGCCCAGTCTGGAGTGAGTGCTATGCTTCTGGCCACTGCAGCCTTGACCTGCTGGGCTCCAGTGATCCTTCGCCTCAGTCTTCCCAGGAGCCAGAACTACAGGCATGTGCTACCACGCCCAGCTCATTTTTTTGGTTCATTGTGGAGATGAGGTCTTGCCAAGTCGCCCAGTTGGGTCTTGAACCCACAGGCTCAGGCAGTCCACTTGCCTCGGCCTCCCAAAGTGCTGGGATCACAGTGTTATTTTTTTAATTAAAAATGTTTCTTAAAAATAATTTGGTCTGAATTAACATTGAGAGCATCTGGTTCATCGGGCATATTCATAGTAGCCCTGAGCTGGCAATGATCCCTGGGGGCTTCAAACAGTGAATGGATGCTTGAAATGTATTATGTCCTTACAATGGGAGTTCATTCATTCTTTCTCTCTTTCTTTCTCTTTCTCCCTTTTTCCTTCCTTCCTGTCTTTCTTTCTCTTGTCTTTTTCTTTGAGTCAAGATCTCACTCTGTGGCCCAGACTGGAGTGCAGTGGTTCAATCACAGTTCACCTCACTGTAGCCTCCACTTCCTGGGCTCAGGTGATCCTTCCACCTCAGCCTCTCCAGTAGGTGAGACTACAGGCATGCTGTCATGCCTGGCTTACTTTTTAAAAATTTTTTTGTAGAGATGAGGTCTCGCTAGATTGCTCAGGCTGGCCTTGAGCTCCTGGGCTCAAGCAATTCTCCCACCTCAAGCCTCCCAAAGTGCTGGGATTACAGGCGTGAGCCACCGTGCCCGGCCTCATACCGCAGAGTACTTTCAACGGTAAAACGGAACGAGACTGATACAAGCTAGAGTACAAATGAACCTCAAAAACATTATGGTATGAAAGAAGGCAGACCCGAAAGACCACCTATTGTATGAGTTTATTTTTTATATGGAATTTCTAGAAAAGGCAAATCTGCGGGGATAGCAGATTGCTGGTTGGCTGGCGCTGGGTTTGGGAGAAGGCTGTTGCAGACAGGTTTAGGGGAACTTCCTGGGACAATGGGAGTGTTCTCACATCGGACTTTGGAGATGGCCAGACAACTCTATACATTTACTAGAAGTCATGGAGCTATATACTTACAATGGGAAAATTTAAAAAAATCTATGTTAATTTGCTTGGACCATAGTACAATATCACAGACTAGATGCCTAGAACAGTAGACGTCTTTTCTCACAGTTCTGGAGGTTGACATCTAAGATCAAGTTGCTGGCAGGATTGGTTCCTCCTGGAGTCGCTTAACTGTGTCCTCATGTGACCTTTTCTCTGTGCAACAGCCCTGGGGTATCTTCCTCTTCTTATTAGGGTACCAGTCCTGTTGGCCTAGACCCTCACCAAATGACCTTGTTTCTATTTAATTGCCTCTTTAAAGGCTCTGTCTCCAAATGCAGTCACATCCTCCGCTGCTGGGGTTAATGTTTTAACATATGAACTTTGAGGAGACACAATTCAGTCCATACCAGTATCTGAATTGTACCTCGATGAACTGTTCTAAAACAGAGGGAGAAGGGAGTCATGTGAGGTCCGGTGTCGACTGAGCTTCTGGTTCTTTACGCCTCACTCCCGGCCCATAAACCAACACACTTCTTCAACTAAGCCCACCACAGACGCCTTTCTCTGCAGAAAGAAATGGGGACGTTTTATAACAGCTGTTAAAACAACTGTAAGCAAATGCACATCCTGATGGATGAATCAGCTACGTACAGATAAACAAAGTGGACCACACGAATGGACCCATTAGCACATTTTAATCCCACTGTGTTAGTATAAAAAAGAATCAGTGAGCCGGGCTCGGTGGCTCAGCCTGTAATCCTGCGCCTTTGGAAGGCTGAGGTGAGTGGATTGCCCGAGCCCGCAGGTTCAAGACCCGCCTGGGCAGCGAGACCTCATCTCCACAATAAATCAAAAAATCAGCCGGGCGTGGTAGTGCGCGCCTGTAATTCCGGCTACTCGGAAGGCTGAGGCGGAAGGATCGCCAGAGCCCAGCAGCGAGGCTGCGGTGGCTGGGAGTGGCCACTGCACTCCAGTCTGGGCGACAGGTGAGGCTCCAACTCAAAAAAAAAAAAAAAAAAAGAATCAGTGTTATAAAATACTATTCAAAAGACGGTAGTGTTGTCATGGAAAGATGTTAGTGGTACATTAAGTGGGACAAGCAGATTGCAGAAGAAGTATGAAAAGTGGGATTCCATTTGGGTTTTGAAATAATACATGTGTAAGTTCTCTCTTCTTTGGCATTTACATGAATGGGCTGGGGGGACACACACCACGCAGGTAACTGGGAGAGAGAGGTCTACAGAGAACAGTCACGATTTACCAGGTACGCTTCTGTTGGGCTGGGATATTCTCAAGAAGTACGTATTAATGTTTATAGTTTTTGAGACATTAATTCAAAGAACTAGGGTCATAGGCTAAAGATCAGAGGCCCTGGGAAGTCCTATGCTGAAGAAAAGCATGGCGCCACTCTGTCATTTCCCATTCCACGTAATCTCTGATGATTTCCTCATGATGACTGTGCCGGTCATTCACTCCTGCCCCATCCAGTGTGAGGCGAGTTAATACATTTGCCTGAAACCATCCCCATTTGAAATGGGATCCTGAGTCTTGGCCCTGGGAGAGCAGACTGTTTCATCTCTTCTAGAAACAGGCATGGTCTGATAGAGTCGCATGTGGGAGCAGACCATGGCAATACCATTTCTAGTCTATTTTGCCCTCGCTTTGGTGTTTTCCAATTTGATTAGGTGCCAAATGCCTCTCATGGCCGGTGCTTTTAATGCGCTGCTCAGGCACTAGTCGGTACAATGGATCCAAACAGTCCAGCAGACAGTTCCCAGAGAAACTGCAAGGGTGGAGCCTGGATGCAGGTTTACAGCTAATAAGCCTTTCCACCACATTCTCCAGTGTCTTATCCTTCCTTTGCTCCAGGGGACCCTTTTTAGAAGAGTGTAGGCTGATTGGTGTAGGCTGATTCCCGGCTTCTCTACTGAGAACAGGCCCTTCAGGAGAGTGGTGTGTGACATCGTGTGACATGTCAGCAGCAGGGCTGCACACTCGCTGTTCGACCATCCTTTGGGGTGTCCCCGCTTTTCCTGGGGACACTTGCTCCTCCCTGCTGTCTGCTGAGCCCTCTGCCTGAACCTGGCAGCCACCTGGTCAACCCTTCCCTCTCTCCTTGCCCCTAGGTATAGCCCATGAACCATTTCCCCAGGGCCCTGTTCTCTAAGGCTCATTCATTAATTCCATTTAATTCATTTCAGCAAACTTCTGTTAAGCACTTTCAAGGTGCCAGACTCAGTGGGGAGAATATAATGAGTTTATAATCTAGTGGAGGAAACAGGCACATGTAAACAGATTCTTCCAGTGCAATGTGTCAAGTGCTCGGACAGAGGCATCTAATAGACTCATCTATCCATCCAAACTGTATTAAGAATCTACAGTGTTGCTAGGCACGGGGTTAGTGGCAGAGGACACAGAGATGAACAAGATAGCAGCCCTGTCCTCACAAAGATCCCAGTGTCCTGGGAGAAAAAAGAAAGTTCCATTGCAACCAAATCAATTTTAATGTAACTAATAAATCCAACCACAGGTGGAGACACGGCATAGGCGAGGGGTATACTGCTTTGTGTAGGGAGCTGCGAAAGGCTCCCCAGAGGATTTGATGTCTGTCCCGCATTTGGAATTAATCTGTAAGCAATGCAGGAGAGGATGGAAAAAGTATTTCGGGCATCAGGAACAGCATATGCAAAGGCACTGAGATAAGAGTCAACGTGATACATTCAGGGAGACACGAGGAGCTTGGTATTGCTAAAACAGAAAAAGACAAGGCTGGAAAAGCCAGCAGGGGTTGGATCATGGGGGAGCTTTGTGCACCAGGTAAAGGAGCATGACTTTTCCTGTTAGGAACCACTGAAAAACTTTCGGCAGTGAAGTGACATAGTCTAATTTGCATTTTGTTACCTACCTGCCGGCAGGTAACAGACCCCCTGATTAGGGGACCTCCCGAAGATGATAGCTTAGACCCAAAGGAATAATCCTTAAGAAACATTGTTTTGTTTATTTATAAAAATTACCCATAGTTATTTTAGACAACTCAGAAAATATAAACACAAATAAGATTGAAGTCACTCATAATTCCATAACTAGACACAGGCCTATTTGCAAATACATATGTATCAAATTGGGATCAAATCCCAGAGAGAATTTTGTATTCTCTTCCCCCTGAAGTGTACATTCCAAGCACTTCCTCATGTCAGTAAACATGTCATGAAAAAAAAAACAACAATATTCTAGTGGTAGAAATTTCAGATGTGTTGCAAGCTGGGGGGAAAAGACAGAGGAGGAGAAAGGGGACATCATTCGATGCTCCCTAAATCACACACAGCACAGGAGCTGATAGCTAATTTCAATAAATGCTTATTGAATGAAATATCAGTTAGAACCGCCCTGGGCCCCAGTGGCAGGTTTTGCTAAAGGCACCTGTGTAGAGAAAGAGAGAGGTGGTCATCGATAGAGGACACTTACATACTGATCACCATCCTTCATGACTGAAAGTTGTATTGGGGCACCAAAGTATAATGTTGCCGGGCTTGGTGGCTCAGCCTGTAATCCCTGCGCCTTTGGGAGGCTGAGGTGAGTGGATTGCCTGAGCGGGTTTGAGACCCGCCTGGGCAACTTGGCGAGACCTCATCTCTACAATAAATCAAAAATCAGCCAGGTGTGGTAGCGCCTGCCTGTAATTCCGGCTACTCGGAATGCTGAGGTGGAAGGATCGCTGGAGCCCAGAGGGTTGAGGCTGCGGTGGCCAGGAGCGGCCACTGCACTCCAGTCTGGGCGACAGAGTGAGATTCCCACTCAAAAAAACAAACAAACAAACAAACAAAAAAACCAAAGTATAGTGTTATGGCACTGGTATTTCATATGATCTGACAGCCAATGCTGAGAAGAATAATCAACTATTCACCTATGTGTGTATCACCCTCTTTCATTTTGGCCTTCCTTTTTCTGTCAGCATTTGAGAAACCTGACTAGAGGGTGACTAGGGACAAGCAAATGGCAAGTAGTGTGTCTTACAGCAGTGCAGGTGAGAAAAATAAATATTCTGATTCAGGGAAGAACTGAGGATGGTGGAGTCAGTGGGGCTTTCAGTTCTTTATGTCTTTTTCTTTTTTTTTTTTTGAGTTGGAGTCTCACTCTGCCGCCCAGACTGGCCCCGCTCCCGGCCACTGCAGCCTCGACCCGCTGGGCTCCGGCGATCCTTCAGCCTCTGCCTTCCAAGTAGCTGGAACTACAGGCGCGTGCTACCACGCCCGGCTAGTTTTTGATTTATTGTAAAGATGAGGTCTCGCTGCCCAGGCGGGTCTTGAACCCACGGGCTCAGGCAATCCACTCACCTCAGCCTCCCAAGGCACGGGATAACAGGCTGAGCCACCGAGCCCGGCTTCTTTATGTCTTTTTCAACTCTGTGTGTGCATTAGGCTATCCAATTGGACCCCGTAAGGGACTAAGGAACTTCTAACACAATAGTGACTTAAACAGCAGTTTATTTTCTCTCTCAACTGTAAGTCTGATGTATCAGTCCCACCACCCTCCAGATCGAGGTTCCTTCCATCTTATGGTTCTGGTGTCCTTAGCAGGTAGCTTTCATCTCGTGGTGTGGGGTGGCTTTGCTCCAGCTCCTGCCATCGTATCAATATTCCAGCCCATGGGAAGGGAAAAGGGGGCAGCGGGGAGGGTGAGCACTCATTTGGAGGGCAGACCCAGGAGTTGCCCACATGACTTAGACTAACATCCCGTTGGCCAGAACGTGATCACATAGCAAGGGAGCCTGGGTAAAACAGTTTTCGTGGTTGGCTACGTGCCAGCTGAAATTCCAAAGTGCAGGAAGGAAGGAGAGGCAGGACATTGGATATCCATCAGCCGTCCCTTCCACACTATGCTATCTTCTCCTGGAGGGCGGAGCATGAGTTGAACTGGCTCTACCGTGAAATCCCTTCATGTTCCAAGACCCTGGTTTTGATGTTTCCAGATGATGACTCCGAGACTGGCGAAGACCTGGAAGAGGAGATTCCCGTGGTGATCTGTGCCGCAGCAGGGAGAATGGGTGCTGCCATGGCCGCCATCAACAGCATCTACAGCAACACCGACGCCAACATCTTGTTCTATGTCGTTGGGCTCCGGAACACTCTGTCTCGAATACGGTAACTTGGGTACTACGAACTCAGAACTTCCTACTTCCTTTTAATTTTCCTTATCTTTCCTTAAACGCATTCCTTTTCTTTTTGGATCAGTGACTGTCATTATAATTCTTTTTTTGGGGGGGGGGTTGGTTGGGGTCTCACTCTGTCACCCAGGCTGGAGTGCAGTGGCGTGATCATGGTTCACTGCAGCCTTGACCTCCGGGTCCCAGGCGATCCTTCCACCTTAGTTTCCCAAGTAGCTGGGACTACAGGCACATGCCACCTCACCTGGCTAATTTTTTTGGAAGTAATGAGGGGACGTCCCGAGCTATGCCTGGGGGATGGTAGAGCAATGTATCATTCTGCAGAGGTGAATTATCTAATAAATGAAAGAATCTCAATCCTTAAGCAGAGTGTATGAAAGTCCTTCTTTCTAAAATGACTTCTCTTTTGTCTGCCTTCTTTTTTTTTTTTTTTTTTGAGTTGGAGTCTCACTCTGTCGCCCAGGCTGGAGGGCAGTGGCACACTTCTGGCCATCGCAGCCTTGACCTGCTGGGCACAGGTGATCCTTCCGCCTCGGCCTTCCAAGTAGTCAGAGCTACAGGCGCTGTGCTATCATGCCCAGCTAATTTTTTTATTTATTGTAGAGGCGACGTCTCGCCAAGTTGCCTGGGCTGGTCTTGAACCCGCAGGCTCAGGCAATCCACTCACCTCGGCCTCTCAAAGTGCTGGGATTACAGACTGAGCCACCAAGCCGGGCCTTGTCCGCCTTTTGAATCCAAGAGAATATTAATATACCTTAACTATTTTAATGTGACTCAAAATCATAACAATGTAATTTTTGAACTGCAAATTTATAATTTGTATATCATAATTTTGAACAAATCTTTTCCTATCACATATTATACTAAAGAGTCAACTGAAGTTAGATTAAGAAAAATTAAACAGAAAATCAAAATTTAAATGTATTATAAAAATATAAGGTAACTGATATGGAGAAGCCTCTTTGGGCTAAGAAATCATTAAGGAAAAACTGACAACATTTTTGACTGCATAACACTTTAAAACTTTTCAATGATGAAAAACGCAAGTGAAATTAATCATATGAAAGATGAGAAGAAAATGTTTATGACATGATTGCACACAAAAGATTACTATCCAAAATAAAGAATTGTTACAACATGTTTTAAAAACACAGCATCTAGTAGAAAAATGAGCACAGACTATGAAATGACAATTTCAGAAGAAAAAATACATGGGAAAAGATAGTCTATGTTCCTAATGAGAAGTGAACTAAAAGGTATTCCCATGACAGATACTGGGTGACATGATTTTTTATTCATCAGGTTGGCAACAATTCAGTAGAACAACACTATCCAGTGCAGGAAAACGAACATACTTATTCCTTGTTTACAGAATGGACATTGTATACACCAGTGAAGCATTTTGAGAGGATAATATGGCAATATCTATCCACGGATTCTATGTGTATATAATTCGACACCCTGTACCATTCCCATTGCTAGGAATCTGTACTACAAAAATTCTAGTGATTATTTCCAAAATGTATGTACGGCAACTTTAGTTTCAGCATCATGTGAACTCGTAAGAACACTTCCAAGTGCTTCAAGGCCCCCCAACGGAAGAAGCTGTTGAAACAGAGAGGAGGCGATCTGTATTCACGAATGCAGGCGATCCCCAGGGCACATTGTTAAGTGGGAAAGCAAATTGCAGCACAACTCATGTAGTATGATCCACTTTACGAAAGCTCAAAACTCATAACTCTAAGTGTCTGCAGGTATACATCTGTGTTTCTGGAGAGAAAAAGAACAGGGAAGATGGTATCAGACTGTGAACACCAACTGAGGAAGGGAAGTTCCAGCTGTTTCGGTATTAGTTTATCCTTCATCAGGAGAATGTACTTATGCACTGCTTTTATTATTACATGTTTTTGAAATGGTACCGTCAGGAGGAACTGAGGTCTGTTAGGGGTTTGTCCCTGATCTAAATGGCCCTTGGCTGCCGAAGGTCTTGAGGGCTTGTGTGTGCTTTCTAGGTGTTCTGTTCCATTTCTTACTTTCCTGATCGCTTACTGATGCTGATCATGAACTTAGCCTGCTGTTTGCAGCCCTTTAATTATCCATGGGTATGAAAATCTGATAGCCAAGCCTAACAGGAGGGCATGTGCAATCTGCTCTGAGTAAGTCTCTGTACTTAACAGAAGGCAAGAGCTTTGTGACTTTCTGACTTTTGGGTGGGGCTGTCCAGTTCACTCTTTACCCTTTTTTAAGTATTTAAAAACTTTTTTCATCGAAGTAGAATCCCAAACCAGAAAATTGTACAGCTTAGTGAATCATCACAAACTAAGCACATTTATGTAACATCCACATCCCCTCCCATACCTGGTATAATCTGTCTTTTCAATTTTGCCATTTTGATGGGTGTCTCGTGGTAACTCGTTGTGGTTTTAATGTAGGGTGTTCCCTTGCTTCCAATGCAGTTGAGCACTTCGTGACCATTAGGAAGTGTGTGTTCAAGTCTCTTGCCTATTTTTCTGTTCGGTCGCCTGTCTTCTTATTGACACGACTGCTTTTTATGGGTTAGATATTGCAGATCTAAATTTTGTTAAGATTTCATTCTTTTGTGGATTTTTCATCAACAAGAAATGATATCGTGAAACTGATTAACATTGTCTCCCCCAACGACCATGCTTGACTAGTTCAGAAAAAAACATTAAAAAAAATTATCTGTGACTGGGTGTGGTGGCTCGCATCTGTAATCCCAGCACTTTGGGAGGCCGAGCTGAGAGGATTGCCTGAGCCCACGGGTGCGAGACCAGCCTGGGCAACTTGGCGAGATTTCGTCTCTACAATAAATCAAAAAATTAGCTGGACATCGTGGCACGTGCCTGTAGTTCCAGCTACTTGGAAAGCTGAGGCGGAAGGATTGCCTGAGCCCAGCAGGACGAGGCTGCGGTGACCAGGATCATGTCACTGCCCTCCAGCCTGGGTGACAGAGTGAGACTCTGACTCAAAAAAAAATTAATTACTACCATATGTGGCTTTAGCTATTGGAAACTTTATTTTGATTATTTCTACCAAGAATTCCATTATGACTTGGATAAGAGATAGAAGTTCTACAAGACTGAGACATGGAAAGGGGAAGAAGACAGACAAGGTAGACAGATGGGAAAGGTTGAGGCACAGAGTCACAGGGACAAAAGTACATTTGAATCAACCTTGGAGTCAAAACAGCAGAGTAAAATTGATTTCAGTCAAAAAGTTGAAGGCTCAGAGCGTCCTGCTTCATAATATTTCAGAGCCGTTACCAAGGGCAAAGATAGTACCAGCAACCACAGATGCTGCTTTTTAAGGAATAAGGAACACTGTTGTTCTTTCTGTTTCCTGGGGAAATTATTTGGATCTGGGGAGACATTTGGTTATTACTCTTTTGCTTCATTTCCTTTGCAGAAGGAGTTTCGCTATGGGGGTGGAAGAAGGAAAGATTTTAAAGCCACACCGGATGCAGGAAGAATTAGAAAAAATTATAGGCCAAACTATACTGAGTTTACACATATTTTATGTTTAGCTTTCTATGGAGGCAGCAGATTGATTAACCCTGGGGCAATAAACAAACTGAGGAAAGATATGAAACATGTACTCGAAGGGTTTTTGTCGTCTCTTTAGAAAATGGATCGAACATTCTAAACTGAGAGAAATAAACTTTAAAGTTGTGGAGTTCAACCCTGTGGTCCTCAAAGGGAAGATCAGACCAGACTCTTCACGGCCTGAACTGCTCCAACCTGTAAGTAGGCAGCACGTGCATGCCGAGACCGTCCTGGGGAGGCCCCCGTCCCTAGGAGGCAAGCCACCCGGATGCACGTGGAATAGCTTTGAATCCTCCTGGGGTTAGATCGCCACAAACTCTACTTATTTATAATGTATGAACCACCTGCTCCAGAAGGGTTTGAAGACAGTTTACAGAAACATAATGAAGCTATTAAAGAAGAAGTGAAGCATAAAAAATGTAGCTCGCGATTATGACTGTGAATTTGGTCAGTGGAGGAGGGCGCAGGAAGGGGCCAGGCAGTGAGGCCAAGAAAAAAATGTCCCAAACCCATCAGCTTTACACGCACTGTGATTGTACATTAAATTTAGCAGAGTATCCTAGAAGCTGAGATAAAAACAGCAGCATTATGGGTTATATATTTCACAGTATTGACCAAGATCATATTTTAAGAGATAACCTTTCTCGGCACTGGAAATCCTAAGGCATTTTACTGCACGTGTTCTTGACAAAAGGGACCTGCCCTCTCCTGCATAGACAGTGGTGTTTTGATGGCAGTTTGCAAAACTTCAGCCTCTTTCTGCATGTGATTACTTAAATCCATCTTTGAAAATGAACTAACTTATAAGCCCTCTGTTTATTGATAGGATCTTTCTCCAATTCCAGATGTCAGGGTCCAAGCCGAGTTGGGGTTTTGGATTAAGCAGTGTTGTCACTAATGAAACTTTAAGACTCCCCCATCAGCAGCTCACATTTCTCTGGCCTTTTTCTGGTTTAAGGTGCTAAAAGGTTGAGCTTGCCGTTGGGATGATGCATGAGTATTTGCATGCATGCGCGCGTGGGAGTGTGTGTGTGTGTGTGTGTGTTTAAGGCTGATTTAGTGGACAGTTATGAGAATTGCTGAATGGGAGGAAGGCGGGCATTTGTGCCCCATCAGACTGACCAGGACACCTCCATGACCCCCATGGCAGTGGGTCACAGAGATAAGAGTGATAGGAACCTCAATACTCGGGTGCTGAATCTTGGAGGGTCACTGATCTGCCAACGCTGGTCTCAGTCCAGGCCCCAGATAGGTCGGGCACCAGGAAGCTTGGGTGAGGCATTTTTGTAGCCCCCATTTTATTCTCTCCAAATGAACTGAGGCTGTGGTCCAAGCTGATTCTCCAGCATCCCCATTACACCATATGCTTGTTCCCCACCATCATTTCTTTTGTTGTTTTAACAGCTGAACTTTGTTCGGTTTTATCTCCCGCTGCTCATCCACCAACATGAGAAAGTCATCTATTTGGACGATGATGTCATTGTACAAGGTACGCTCATTGACTGCCAAAAACCCTTGAACAAGGAGCAGCTGATAAGCAAAACAACTGTCTCTCTTCATTTTCCAAATAGCTATTTGACCAGTGAGTTTGACTGCTCATTAGAGTTGTGAGTACGGTATTGCTGTAAATTTGGGAATATTATGAACACAGGGGTTGATACTTCTCAGGACAGTCCAGTCCTCTAATTGTCACAGCCTGCAGTGAATGGCTTGGTAGCCTTTCCTTTCTCTGCATCCCTAAAAGCATGGAAATACAGTCTGGCTGATGACATTGTTAGGGGTGAGCGAAGTTTTGGTGTTTAAATGTTGTGTCCTAATTTTTCCACATCCGAATAGGATAAGCATTGGTGTGGAACCCACCCAGCACAGAAATAAGGAAATTTGACCAATGCCAATCTGAGCGTATGATCAAGCCACACCCAGCCCAAACTATTCTTATTAAGTAAATTGCTTTCTAATTTGGCACAAACTATTCTTTTTTTTGTTTGAGTTGGAGTCTCTGTCATCCAGGCTGGTGTGCAATGGCATGATCCCAGCTCATCACAGCTTGACCTCCTGGGTTCAGGAAATCCTTCTGCCCCAGCCTCCCGAGTAGTTGGGGCTAAAGGTGTGTGCCACCATGTCAGTCTTACTTTTTATTTTTATTTTTTGTAGAGATTAGGTCTCATTTGTGTTGGTCTCAAACTCCTGGGTTTAAACAATCCTCTCCCAGAGTGCTGAGATTATAGGTATGCCCGGCCTCAAAATATTCTTTTTTTTTTTTTTTTTTAGTTGGAGTCTCACTTTGTTGCCCAGGCTGGAGTGCAGTGGCATGCTCACGGCCACCCCAGCGTCGACTCACCGGGCTCAGGCGATCCTTCTGCCTCAGCCTTCCAAATAGCCAGAACTATAGGCATGCGCTGCCACGCCCGGCTAATTTTTTGATTTATTGTGTAGTGATGAGGTCTCGCCAAGTTGCCCAGGCTATTCTCAAACCCATGAGCGCAGGCAATCCTCTCACCTCGGCCTCCTAAAGTGCTGGGATTACAGGCTTGAGCCACCATACCCAGCCCAAACTATTCTTATTAAGTAAGTTGCCAAGCCACTTGAAATTGGGGATCCAATATACTACTCCCATAGTACAATCAGGAATTATTTAAGGTTCTAGCGAGCCCCCAAACAAATGCTATAACATTTTAACTTCTGGCGTTTCTAAATTCAGGTGATATCCAGGAACTGTATGATACCACCTTGGCTCTGGGCCACGCGGCAGCTTTTTCGGATGACTGCGATTTGCCTTCTGCTCAGGACATACACAGACTTGTGGGGCTGCAGGTGGGCACAGGCTCGGAAGTCCTACCATCTCCTCCCTTGGCCCTGTAGCTCTGACCCTTCTTGTTCCCTGCAACTCAAAATGAGTGTAATCTCCATCTTGAAAACCTGGATGGGTAATCTGAACTGCTGGGAGGCAGAACAACACGGGGGTCGAGATTTGGGGTCATACCTCAGTTTTCTTCCTTACCGGCTATGGGCGAGTTATTTAACCCTGCAAAGTCCCACCTTTCTTATCTGAAAAAAAAAAACATAGCCATGATGTCATTTTGCTGTGTTTTTTTTTTTTTGTGAGATATAATGAAATAAAATGAACTCAAGTGTCCAGCATGTGTAAATGCTTCAGAAATGATAGTTGGTACCTAAGTTGCTTATAATCACACTTCATGTCAGAGATGGTGTTTTCTGAGACTCGTTGGCACTGTTGGTTCTGTTTTCAGAGTTCTGATGGTCACTTCTTTTCTTCCTTTTCAGAAGAAAAAAATATTGCTTCTGTTCGAGGGTAAAGATTTCCTTACCCTGGTGGAAATGAGAAAAGTTGAAACTATATGTAATGCTGAAATCAAAGGAATACTTTGAAATATGAGGTGCTATTAAGAGTTGAATGCTGTTCTTTAAGATGAGTGCTAGCAGATAATTTTAAACGTGTGACATTTAAGACACTTCAAGATGTAGGCTCTGGGGCTAGGCTCGACTTTGTCAACATCTTGGCACTGTCACTTAGTAGCTTTATGATCTTGGGCAAATTACTTGGCCAATCACTGTCTCTCGCTTGTCCAATAGAGGTAATAGTGGGACTTGCCTTGTAGATTGTGATACTGACACATAGAAGGTGCTTGACTATGTCCATTCCTCTTGTGTCATGTTTGGGAGCATCACACTCAGTAGAAGAGACGGTCCTGCTTAATACTCCACTCAACAACTTCCACTGAGTGCTTACTGTGTGCCTGACA